CCAACAGGCATACATCCATCTGGGCGATGACACGAACCGCGAGGAATTACGAGGGTGGCGCAGAGAGAACAAATAAGAGAGATCCTCGAGCGACGAGGACTCTACAAGACGCAGCAGAGAGAGAGAGAGAGAGGAGAGGAGCAGGGAGAGTCGAGAACACGGGAGAGAGGGAGGAGGGAGGGGACGGGAGACATGAGAGAGCAAGATGCCAGAGAGAGAGACGAGATGTGAGCCAGAGAGGAAGAGAGAGGAGCAGAGAGATGCAGAGAGACGATGAGAGCAGATGAGAGAGAGATAGAGCAGGCATCGTGGTGTGCATGTTTCTGTGTGTGCTCTGCTGTGTCGTGTGTGTGCTGTGGATGTGCTGTGTGGATAGCAGCATGGTGTTGTTGCTTGTGTTTGTGCTGCTGGAATAACACGTGTGTGTGTGCTGTGGTGTAGTGTGTGTGCATAACTTGAGCAGAGCCAACATTTTGTATATGTACATGTGTACCAAAGATATTATTTACCGAAAGGGAACAATCGGAACGCATCAAACGAATAACCCGACGTGTCCTCATCGGCAACTTTTAATCATTAACAATAAAAACCATCCAGGTAGCATGTACACCTAGGAGAAATATGTAGTAAGTAACTCCATTTGCAGCACTCCTGTGATAAGATAAGATAAGATATTAGGATTACCACAAGTGTACGAACGAAGGAGAACCACGTGCGTTGTTCTGTGACTACAGCTTGTTAACTCGTTGTCAGGCTGTGCGCTGGTTCAGGTCGAGTTACTGATGTTATTGTGTTATTACCATCTTTTTCTAACACGAGAAGTTGTCGTTATTACAATCTTTTTCTTCCTCGAGAACTTGTGGTTATGTCTTCCTAGAGCTATCATCATCGCCCTTATTACCTCTGCCAAGAAGGTTGTTTTTGGTAGCGTTGGTTAGTTATGAATAGATCTTTTATGAAGGGGTGTGTTTTTGTCTATCTTAGATGCCATTAAATTTTGGTGGTGATCGGGACCATTATCCAGATACAAATTTAAAAAAATGATTGTATTTTGTTATTATTATTATTATTATTATTATTATTATTATTATTATTTTATCATTGTTAATTTTATTATTATTATCATTATTATTGTTACTATTATCATTTTGACTTCTATTATAATATTATGATAATAATATAATAGTTTTTTAATTGTTGTTATTGATGTTGTTCCTATATCATATTTATATCATTATTATTATTATTAACCTTACTGTTATTATTCTTTTCTCATTCTTATTATTATGATTATCATTATTATGATTGCTCTTATTATGATTGTTATTATTATTATTGTTGTTGTTGTTATTATGATTATCAATATTATCATTATTATATTATTTATTATTTCATCATCCTTTTGTTATAATTTCATATATCATTATTTCATTATTGATAGCATCATTATTAAATGTTATAATTATTGCTATTATCATTATCATTGTCATTGTAATTGGTATAGTAATAGTGATAATAAAACTGATAATAATATTATCATAACTATCATTATCATTATATATATTATTGCTCTTAATATTGTTATTATAATTATCATTATCATTGATATCGTTATTACTATCGTCGTCATCATCATCATCACCGACTATATGATATCACACACACACACGCACACATACACACACACACACTCATATATATATATATATATATATATATATATATATATATATATATATATATATATTATATATATATATATATATATGTATATATATATAAGATACATATATATAAATGCATACATAAATGAATATAGATATACCCGTCCACAAATATGTACCCGTGTAATATTGCTCTACCTTGCGTACAAAATTCGTAAATGTGTATGCTTATTTGTGTGTTAAATTGGTAGCTGTTTTGTACAGGTGATCTGTATATAACGTTGTCTATTTACATTTGGTTATCCATCAGTTTCCGATAACAGTACTCATTAAATGCCAAATTTTATTGTAACTATATGAACACACACACACACACACACACACACACACACACAACACACATACACACACAATGTACATACATCCGCAACACATATGTACATACACACATACACACACATACATATACATACATATGTATATATCTATATCTTATCTATATATATATGTGTATATATATGTATACATATATGTATGCATATACAAAATATATACATATATTATATATAATAATATTATTATTATATATATATATATATATATATATATAATATATATATATATATATATATATATTGATATATATAAATATATACATATATACAATTTTATATATATTAGTAATGGCGTAAAGAACATAACATCTCACCCCGATGACATTTCTAGATATCTTAATGATGCAAAATGATCATACTAATTAGCGTCCACTCTTTATTTTCATTAAAACACATACAGATTTACACACACGAATATGTACACGCCAACACATACATACCTTCATGGACATGCCGGCACACTTATGCATTATTCTTTTTGCTCTGTGCTACCCACACTCTTCTCTAAAACATATGGAATGAACACATGTGACGCACCAGTTTCTTCTGTTACAGTTAGCCCACATTAATCCTATAGTTTCCATCACTCTCCGCTCAGCTGTCTCACGTGAGGGGCGGTTAGCTTACCTAGCATGTGAAAGTACTGTGGTGAGGGACTGGAATACTGTGGTGTGGCGAAAGTGATCAGAAAAGGAAGAGAAGAGGAGAAATATTTCAACGTTTTAGGCCCTGAACTTAATATGCCTCTCAGGAATTCCTCGCAGTTCTTTCTCAAACAGTTTCAGATCATCATTCTGATCCTCTTTCAAGTAAGCTTATCCAGGCAGTTTCATGTAGACAACACGGGAGATCTACAACACGATGACACCCCCGTCGAACTAAAGGAAAATACGAAAGCAATGAGGCAGACACTTTTCTCTGCCTTGAAAAAGACAGGCAAGGTCCTACCACTTGTACCGGGAGAAGACCCAGCGACGGCACTCCACCCACAAAGCCAAGACGCGGATGAAACGTCGCACAAGACCGGCCAGAAGGAGGTGGACCTCGAGCGAGCCCCAAGGAACTACACAGGCTGGCGCATCATCAGGATTTACCCTCCCACCCGCGACGCCTTCGAAGACTTTGTCCAGACGTTCGAAGACAACACACACATCGTCGTTCTTGAGATCATCAGAGGAAAATTAATGGTTCGTTTCTTCTATTTGCTTGTTATCTAATCGATTTTTTAAATACAGTTGGTTGTGAATAGATAATGTTGGGGAACTTGTTGGGGTGGGAACTGTGGAGGAATTAATAGGACAGCAGTGGTGCTGTGTTAGTGTTTCAGGTCATGTGGTGGGAATTCATTCTCACTGTATTAAAGCGTGTAGACGTGTATGTGTGTGTTACACCTACACACACACCCACACCACAACACACACACACACACACACATAAATATATATATATATTAATCTTATATATTAAATATTATATTCTATTATATTAATATAATTTACTATATTATATCTATAATATATATAAATGCAGTATAGAGATATACTTATATGAACTATATATAATATATATATATATATATATTATTAGATAGATTAGACTAGTTAGAATAGTAGATAGATATTAGATATAGGATATAAACATACTATGTACATATATATATTATATATATTATACTTATATTTGCATATATATAAAATCTATATATATTATATATATTATATTTTAATATATTTATTTAGTATTACAGGTTATTCATTATATATATATTATTATATATACATTTTTATATGATATAGTTATTATTACAACTATTGCTTATATGTGTAATATATATTATATATTATTATATATATATGTTATATATATACTATATTATATGTATATACATACTAGATATATGGTAGAAGTATGTATACTATACGCTACTTTATTATATATATATTAATATATAAATATTATATTGTATATATATGTAACTATATATTATAGATATATATTTATGTATGTATATATATATAATATTATATAATTTAGGTTTTAAAGGGATATTATGTTTTTATATGATTTTATAATATATATATATATATATTATATATAAAATATATATATTTATATATAGTCATGTTTAATGTGTATTATATGAGTATTATATATTGATATATAAATTATATATATATATATTATATATAAATATACTATGTATATGTGTATAGGTATATGTCAGTTTATTATATTAGATATATTATATTTATGTATGAGTATGATATTTATATATATATATATATATTATTATATTATATATATATATATATATATATAATATATATATATTCATAATTTAACCGTGCTTGTGTTCTTGTCAATTTAAAGAGTGATGCATAATATCTGATATTATATATCATTCAATATTATATTATATGATAAAAATATTAATATCATATTCGTTATTAATATTATATATATATATAATATTATATATATTATCATATATATATTATTATATATATACTTTAACCAGTTGCATGTTCTTGTCATATTCTAAGAGAGCTGATGATAATAAATTATATAATATATATCATTATATTATTATATTATATAATTAATTATGATATATTATATATATTCGTACATATATATATTATATATATATATTATATATATTATATTATTTTATATAATATAATATTTAACCAGTTGCGTATTTCGGTATTTTAAGAGAGCTTGTAACGGCGGATGTACATTCCCACCATGACATCTCAGTCGCTTCGCTTGGCACGATTCTAACTGTAAAATTGGAAAATCTCGGCTCGCTGGATCCCTTAGTTGTTGGCACCCAGACCTGTTGCAATCAGGAGCAACATCTACCCAACAGCGATTCTTAAAATGCGGTTGTCTAGATTCCAAGCATTTCCTCCAGATGTGTTGTAAAGGGATACGAAACATGGCTCTACTTATACGATCTCGAGGACGAAACATAATCCGAGCAGCGCTTACTGAGGGGTCAAAGGTCAAGGCCAAAAATCAGCGCGGTCATGAGCTGCTGCCCGTTTCAAGATTAAGACATTTTGCCAATTGACTTCTTTGGATTCGAAAAAGACGATGGCATCTCCGTCTCATATAATTAATTGTCCCTTCGCGTTTCCTGCTCGACAAGGGCGGGTGTTGCGCGATATAGAAATCACTCTGCCCCCTCCGTAGAGGCCTATTTTAAGTTTTATATTATATATACTATATATATATATATATATATATATATATATATCTATATATAATATAGTATATTATATATATCATGATGGGTCTGTGTGCTGTTGTGTGTGTGAATGTGTGCCTGTTTTGGTGTCATGTGTGTGTGTGTTTTGTGTGTGTGTGTTGCGGTTGTGTGCGTTTGTGTGTGTGTGGTGTGTGTTGTGTGGTGTCGTGTGTGTGTGGTGTGGGATGTTGGTGTTGCGTGTGTGCATACATGTCTGTCTGTCTCTCTGCCGTCTGCCTCTCTGTCTGTCTGTCTCTGTCTGTCTGTCTGTCCTGCCTGTCTTCTCTCTCTTTCTCTCTCTCTCTCTCTTCTCTTCTCTCTCTCTCTCTTCTCTCTTATATAATATATGTCTATATAATTATAATATATATATATATATATATATATATATATATGTATTATATACAAATGTATTCATATGTATTTTATATATATATATTATTATTAATAATATAGTATATATGTGTGTGTGTTGTATGTTGTATACACACACCACACACACACACACACAAACACACGCACTATATATATATATATATATAGTATATATTATTTTATATTATATCAGTCTATGTATAGAGTATATCGATACGTGACGTATGTGAGTGTCACACAGTCATATACAAAAGGGGCTTATCAAGGATTTGCACAGCTGAAACAAAACACGTGACATCATTGGTGCCAACACAATACAGCTGTGTTTTCGAGGTTGATAAATATATCTGACAATGATAGATTGGAATCGATTCTTCCCACACACACACACCACAAACACACTACACACCCAACACACACACACACAACACCACACACGCGACACACGCACCACAACAAAACACACACACACACACAACAACACACACACAACACCACACCAGCCACACACACACACACACACACACCAGATAATTACGGTTGTGTTCCATTCCATTTATATCATATGAAGCTTCAGTAATTACCACGCCGCACTTATTCCCTACGCGTTAGAAAGTCCCATGCGATCAGAGAAGTATGATTCAACATTTTACTCTGCCAGCACAAGAAACTACCAATCCGCATTAAAGATACTGAATTTCAATTTCAGATAGGACGTGGCCTTACCTCCAAATATGGCTTAAAAGATACGTGCCAGATTCTCTCTCTCCCTCGTCTCGTTGTCGTGGACACTGATAAGGCCAACGGGCGTGGGACGTGAGGGAGAGCAGAACAGCACGGGTCTATGGGCGAGGAAGATAATGGACATGTGCCGCGGAAGACAATATAAAGAAGATTCGTCGAAGACAAAAGGGGGAAGAAGAAAGCCGAAGAGGTCGTAGCCTGGGAAACAGTCAATCCGTTTTTGTCTCCTTATTCAACGAGTGCGCTTGACGGCACAGGTTACTGAAAGGGTCTTCTTCGGGTCCAATTTTATGATTGATACGCCATGTTTAAGGATAATAATGTTAATATGATTTATGTAAATTTTATGATTTTTTAATCGATATGGTCAAATTTTATGATAATTTTTAATGATTATGGTCACATTTTATGATGATAACCTGCCATGTTTATTATAATAATGATAATAATGATATGGTCAATTTTACTGATGGATTATGCACGTTTATGATGATATCTCTTTGTAATATGTCAATGTTTAGGTTGATTAATGCTGTTTGATTTATAATAAAAGATATCAGATTGATGTCATATGCTATGATTGATAATGCTTGTGCTTTTAATGACAATTTTTAATGATATGGTCAATTTTCGATTGATGTACCATGTATATGACAATGATGCTATACCATAATGTGATAGCCATTGCAAATGACCCATTATCCAAGAGAAAAGAAAAACAAATTAAAACACATCTTAAAAGCAGCAAACTACACCACGATGGCTTGTTTCCCCCAGAACAACTAGCTTGGGGGACGACTACTACCGCTATGATTCTATCGTTCGCTTCGCCAAAGAACTGGCGCTGAACTACTCGACGGTGGAATACCTCGAGATCGGCCAGAGCGTTGAGGGCCGGACGCTGTTCGCTCTACTCGTCTCCAACAAGTTGAGTGCTGATTCCGGAATTCTCTTGTTGTCAATTTGTACGTGACCAGCCTTGGCGGATACAGACACACAGTACGACGATCACACTTCAGACAGGCATGACAGACAGACACACCACGCACGTCACCTACGCAAATGTTACGCACGCCGGTACAGCACGCACCAAGCACGCACGCACACGCACGCACAACATCCGCAACACGCACACGCACACGCACACGCACACGCACATCGCAACAGCGCACGCACACGCACACGCCTGGCCACCAACACAGGTCACACACTTCCACCAACACACACACACACACACACACAATCATCACACACACAACACACACATATAATATTTTGATTATATAAGTGCGTGTACATGTATCTATATTAAATCTATAGTTTTATCTTTGTTTCTATCGTTACTATTTTTAAATATGTATCTATATTCATATCTATCTCTGCATCTTAATATCTCTTTACCTGTGCTATATCTATTTAATCTTTATCTATATAAATACATATTACATATGTGTCACAATCATACACACACACACAGGATAACAGATCACACACACACACACTTATCGCACACACACACATCAACACCACACACACCGCAACACACAACACACACACACTAGACAACACACACACACACTACACACAACACCACAACATCATATATACCTATATAATATTGTGCTATGTATGTATGTATTTATGTATGCATGTAGGTATATATACAATATACTATATAATATATTATATAAAACATATATACATATATAATATATACATATAATACATATATAGCATATATACATATAATTCCATAATACATATATACATATATATACACATATACATTTATAATATATATATATTATGACTATATATATATATATATATATATAGTATGTACACAGCACACTAAATGCATCACACAACCACAACCACACACACACACACACAGCACACACAAACATCTCTCACACATTCCTCACACAACACCACCCACCACACCACTACACACAACACACCACACACACACACACACAACACACACACAATCACACCACACACACACACACACAATACAATCTCCACCACATATTATTTATAATATAATATATATATACTTTAATTATATATAATATATATATAATCAATATATACTTCATGCGTATGTATGTATGTAATGTATGTACGCATGTAGGTACATATACATTATATATTAATATATTCATAATATACAGTATGTTTACATATATTTTCATATTCATCTCATTTTCATCACCTATATATATAATAAATAATATATATATATATATATATAATATATATATACAACATATCAACACTTAAATGCACCAACAAATCCACAAGAGACACACACCCACACACACATCACACACACACACACACACACACACATCACACACACACACAACACACCACACATACAAGCCACACACAGACACATACAGTACGCCACACAACACCATCACATCGCTGTCGCTCTCTACTTTCTCCAACACTTAAGTTACTAGTTCTGGAATTCTCTGTTTATATTGTATCGTGACGCCTTGCAGAATCAAACACACATTAACGAACGCGCACACATCAGACAAGACACAATCAGCATCAACGCAACACGCAACGCCACGCACACATACACATCAGCACCCGCACACCACCACGCACACGCAACAGCATCACACACACACCACACACAATCACACACCACACACATACACATACACATACACAATAACAACACACATCACAACACACACAACACACACACACTAACCTCAACACACACATATATATATATATATATATATAGTATATATATTATCATTATATCATATATAACATAGCATATATTTACATTATATATATTACATATACATATATATATATATATATATATATATATATATATATAATATATATATATATATATATCACATACATATGGCATAATATATATTATATATATTATAATATATTATATATATATACTATATATAAAAGTATATAGTTATATTTATATATGTATATATATAGTATATATATACATATATATACTATGTATATATATTATGTATTATATGTATATATATGATATATATATATATTATATAATATATATATAATATATGTGTGTGTGTGTGTGTGGTGTGTGGTGTGTGTGTGTGTGTGTGTGTGTGTGTGTGTTTGTGTGTGTGCTGTGTGTGTGTGTGTATGTAAATGTATATGTGTATGTGTATATGTGTTGTGTATGTGTATGTTATGTGTATGTGTATTGTTATGTATGTATGTTATGTGTATGGTATGTATGTGTATGTGTGTATATATATATGTATATGTATGTATGTATGTATGTATGTAATATATGTATGTATGTATGTATGTATGTAATGTATGTATGTATGTATATATAAGAACTCAAATTTTGTAACACCTTCGCACGCTCTCGCCAGGCCAAAAGTCTTGGTGAGGAAATACAAAAGGAAAATGATGCAGCAGGAAAAGCAGAGAGCAGACCGGCCTCGCGATCCACCTCTTCTGAAATCGAAAGGCAGAAAAAAGACAAACAGAATGAAAGGGAAGAAGCAGTTTGTCCTTATAGAAGCTGGTGAGTTATGCATTAATCCCAATGATTATATCTGTAAATAGGTGGATAGTGGAGTATAGATAGATAGATAGATAGATAAAAGGAGAGAGAGAGAGAGAGAGAGAGAGAGAGAGAGAGAGAGAGAGAGAGAGAGAGAGAGAGAGAGAGAGAGAGAGAGAGAGAGAGAGAGAGAGAGAGAGAGAGAGAGATACAGTTTATATGTTTCTGAACCTTCGTACATTAGCTAAGAAATTTGTAACTTTTTGCCTTTTCAATTTACGATCTTTGTACATGAGCGGCCCCGACCTTTTTAGTCGTGATCCCTTTCTCAAACCTTGGCCATCGGCGATCTCCCGGCATCATTCTTAGGCTGTTGAAGATAAATTTATGGATATGTATTAGCCCTATTTATATGAATGTGGTACCGTACAGTACTCTTTGCAGATATTTCATACTGTAATATAAGTATGAGATGATAAACGGTTTGCAAATTGACAAAAATGTTCCCTTAAGGTTTCGCGACCCCCTTCTTTCTTCGGCTGCACCTCCTTCTCTCGTTACCCCTTCGGACCATCCGGCCCTGTCATACCATCGGACTCCGGGCCCCCTTCCTCCCCACAGGCGCCCACGCTCGGGAGTGGCTGTCCCCGGCGATGGCGACGTTCCTGGCGCAGAAACTGGCAGACGCCGGGAAGAAGTTCCTGCAGCACGTGGCCGTGGTCCTCGTGCCGATGGCCAACCCCGACGGCTACGAGTTCTCGCACACCGACGACCGGCTGTGGCGCAAGAACCGGCGCAACACGTCCAAGTCGGAGTGCAAGGGCGTCGACCTCAACCGCAACTGGTCCAAGTCGTGGGGCACGTCCGGCTCCAGCAGCAACCCCTGTTCCGAAATCTATCGCGGGCCCCAGAGCTTCTCCGAGCCCGAGTCGCGAGCTCTCCGGGATCTGGCTCGCGTGTGGATCAAGAAGTTCACGCTGTTTCTCAGCTTGCACAGCTACGGCAGCTACATCCTGTATCCTTGGTCCCACACCCAGACGGCGAGTGCAAGAAATAGGCCACTGAAGAATATTGCAAGGAAAATTACCAAATACTTAAAAACTAATGGCTACAAGAATTTCTTGGTAAGCAAATCCTCTTCTAAATCTGCTTCTTTTTATCGTTTATATTCAAATTAATCAGTCGCAAGTAAATCAGAATATATCTTACGTGACTTATACATGACAACTCCCTATAGAATGACAAAAAAAAAAAAAAAATCAATCAAACACTCCATATAAAACTGCAAAAAAAACTGCCTCCTCAGTACGGCCAAACAAGCAGCACATTATACCAAGCTTCCGGGACATCTGAGGACTACATGCTGACAGCTGGGATAAAGTACGATTATACAGTCGAGCTCCCTGGCTTCAGCTTTCAATTCAACGTCAAGAAGATCAAGTCCGTTTCGAGAGCTTTTTGGGAAATGTTAGTCTGCATCTTCGGCGATATTGGGAAGCAGAAGAAATTGAAGGAATATTGCTCGAAGCGAATTGTCAAGATAATGTTGGAAGATGGGTCGAGTTACAGTGACTGGGTGGATAAGGAGATTCCCCTTGATGAGGCGAAGGACATCGTTAGAGAAAAGTATAAGGAAAAACATAAGAATAAAGTTCAGACTACAACTGCTGTTAATACTAGTTTGCCCGCAGCTACAAAGGAAACGATGGGTGGATTCTGATAAATATTGT